TAAAACGCAGTTGAGGTGGGCTCGGCCCATAAATGAAGCTCGGGCTTTGGATTTTAGAAACTATGACGGCGTCTCCGCATATACCGGCGTCGCCGGAAGAGACCTTGAGATAGTGAAAATGGCGGATGATGATGAAAAACCACCGATGGCTGTTCAAATCCAACCTGATTATTCCGCCGGGAAGAATCTCTCCGTGGAAGAATCAAGCGACGCTGTTTCTGTTGGGGTTACTGTCATCACTGGCTATCTCGGCGCCGGAAAGTCCACCGTAAGCAATGAATAAAACCCTTTCCTTCTTTCACTGATTTACGAAAGGGCTTTGGTTTTTGATTGTTGATAATCTTATTGGTTTGCCCAGCTTGTGAATTATATCCTGAACGGGAAACACGGGAAGAAAATCGCAGTGATATTGAATGAGTTTGGGGAAGAGATTGGAGTTGAGAGGGCGATGATAAACGAAGGAGAAGGAGGTGCCCTTGTTGAAGAATGGGTCGAGCTTGCTAATGGCTGTATTTGCTGCACTGTTAAACATAGCCTTGTTCAAGCCCTCGAGCAACTTGTACAGAGAAAAGACAGGTTTTTAACATCCCCAAAAGTTTATCATCTTTCATTTGTATTTCTAAATACAGTGAGATATTCGTGATGATCCGTACTCTTAAAGCTCTAAGATTTGGTAATAGCCTAAACTAGAATGCCTGTTTGATTTTAAGACGTTCTGCTTTTGCTTTGTCAAATGCAGGCTTGATCATATATTGCTGGAGACAACAGGATTAGCAAATCCTGCTCCACTGGCTTCTATTCTTTGGTTGGATGAACAGTTGGAATCAGAAGTAAAGCTTGACTGTATTGTTACTGTGAGTAGTGAACTGTTTATCTGATTCACTTCTCCCATGTTAAGCTTCAAGCTGCTCTTTATACTCTCATATCTTCGTCATTTATAGCTAGTAATCTTTCTTTTTCTGGTTACTTCTTTGTAGCATATATGTCTCAGCTTACTTGCTTTCTCTGTGGTTCCAGCAATTTAGTGCTTAGGCATCTTGTTCCGAATGCTTTTACTGACTTAGCTGCTTGAACAGGTCGTGGATGCAAGGAACCTTCGTTTTCAGCTCAATGAGCGCCGTGACTCATCCTCATTTCCCGAGGCTTTTAATCAAATAGCATTTGCGGTAATCATCTTGTTACATAAACCAATAAGAATTGCCGTCTGCATTGTACTTCTCACCTCATCATGACATGGTTTTTTTATTCATTTTGTAGGACACAATAATAATGAACAAGGTTGATTTGATTTCTGAAGAGGAATCTGATGAACTGGAGAAGGAAATTCATTCCATTAACTCGCTCGCCAATGTCATCCGTTCTGTTAGGTGCCAAGTTGATTTGTCCAATATATTAAACTGCCAGGCATATGATTCAACTGTTAAGTCTCTATCATCTGATTATATACCTACTCGATTATTATTCATGCTTTTGACTGTAGCAATTGAACCTTTTCCATCTTCACTGTTGCAATTAGCATGTTAGTCGTCTGGAATCTCTGCTAGAAGCAAATAAATCATTAACCACAACAGACCTTCACGATAGTGGAGTGAGGACTCTATGCATCAGTGAACCGCAACCTATAAACCTCGACAAGGTAGCAAATTCATCAAACATTCTTGGACTGTTAGTTAAGAAATAGTGTTCTTTGTGACACACCAGCTTCTTCTCGAATTGACAGGTTCGTTTGTGGCTTGAGGAAATTCTGTGGGATAGAAAGTTGGAGATGGATGTATATCGCTGCAAGGCTGTGTTGAGCATTGAAAACTCAGACCAGCTGCATATTTTACAGGTAATGTAGTCATGAAATGAAACATGAGTAAATCTCTTATGGTCCTCAGAAAGTCCATCTTCACATTGCTTCTATGTTATTAAATATTCTCAGGCCGTTAGAGATATATATGAGATAGTTCCTGCACGAAAATGGAGCGAAGAAGAGAACCGAATGAACAAAATAGTATTTATAGGTCAGATCTCCTTTTTGCATCATAGTTAACATTGTTGTTCCCAACACACTCGTCTCTCTGCTTGCTGATTCATGTGATCAAATATTAACAGGACACAAACTGGACGAAGAAGCTCTCAGAAGCGGATTAAGAGATTGCAGACCCTGAGAAAAAAAAAAACCCTAACTTGTAGTGAAGTCAGATGGTCTATACCAATTTTGGGTGTTGTAAATTGTACTTTTAGCATTACAGTGTCTGAATTTACAGCTCAATCTTACAGTTGATACTGTTTTACTTATAGATGTTGTAACACTATCATTACATTCTACGCCACAGTCGTTTAATCAAATATTCAAACTACCATTCCTTGCAAATAAAGTTTTCTGAAAATCTGTAATTACAAGGTCAGAATTGTGTTTATGACCGAATT